AATTATAATTAGGCTACCTAATTAGCCTAATAAGCTAATTAGGTAGACTAATTAGCTTAATTATTAATTATAATTAGGCTACCTAATTAGCCTAATAAGCTAATTAGGTAGACTAATTAGCTTAATTATTAATTATAATTAGGCTACCTAATTAGCTTAATAAGCTAATTAGGTAGCCTAATTAGCCTAATTATTCATTATAATTAGGCTACCTAATTAGCCTAATAAGCTAATTAACCTAATAAGCTAATTAGGTAGACTAAGCAGTATTTAGCTTGCTAACTAAATCTAAGGTAAATGTTTAGCTTGTGAATGAAATATTTAGTTTAAAACTGTGACATTCATAAATGAATGGATAACTTGGTGAAAATATGAAAATAAACCGGCATGTTTTGTAGAGTCTGAATAATCCAGATTGTTGCAGTCTTGGTCTACAGTTGAACTTCCTCTGCCTCCAGATCGGTTCCAGGCCCTGAGGAACGCCGTCCTGCAGCCGGGCCTCAGCCTGCAGCAGGGCGCCGCGCTCTTCCTGGACCAGAGCTTCCAGGCGCCGCCGTCCTTCCAGGATCTGGTTCAGACCAAATATGGCGGACAGACGCAGACCGTGTCCTTCTCCAACCAGGCGAATGCCCAGGACGTCATCAACCGCTGGGTCCAGGACCGGACCCAACACCAGATCCAGAACCTGCTGAGCGCCCTGGACCACCAGACCCAGCTGCTGTTCGTTTCCGCCGCCACCTACCAGAGTGAGTCCCGCCTGCAGCTGGGCTTTGATTAGGCCGCTGTGTTCTGCTGTGTGCTTTGACTAGGCCGCTGTGTTCTGCTGTGGGCTTTGATTAGGCCGCTGTGTTCTGCTGTGTGCTTTGACTAGGCCGGTGTGTTCTGCTGTGTGCTTTGACTAGGCCGGTGTGTTCTGCTTTGTTGCAGTGCGCTTCAGTCCTCCCTTCAACGCCTCGCTGACTCAAGTTGAGCGTTTCTACGTCGACCGTTATCATGTCGCCATGGTTCCCATGATGTTTCGGGCCGACAAGTACTTCCTGGCGTATGACGGCGGCGTGAAGGCCGGCGTGCTGAAGCTGCCAATGGCAGATGGTGCCGCCATGTTGGCGGTGCTGCCAGACGAAGACGTGGACCTGACCGCTGTGGAGGAGGAAGTGACCTCAGAGAAGATCCGGGCCTGGGTCCGCCAGCTGAAGAAGACGTGAGGACCTTTGTCTTCTTCATTCCTCGATTCTCAGAGTACGATTCTGACCCACCTGTTCTGTCAACAGGAAGCTGGAGGTGCAACTTCCTGTCTTCCTGCTGAAGCGCTCCTATGCCCTGAAAGACGTCTTGCAGGTGCTCGACATCACGCAGGTGTTCCAAGATGGCACTGACTTCAGCAGCATGGGCGGGGCTTCAAGACCCAGCCTCTCTCAGGTCAGTGGCCCAGTCAAATCCTTGAACGTTAAAAAAATAAGTTTGAGGCCCTGGAATGATTTTGGGTTTGAATTTTCACCTGGATGGAGACGATTAATGTGTTGGTATTTTCTCCTGTGTGCCCAGTACGCAGCAACACGCCATCTGCTGGGTGAACTGGTTAACTGCCCTCCATGTTGACTCTAATAAAAAACCAACAGAGCTATGCTAATGCTAATGATGCTAATTCTGACAGTTTTACCTGCTAAGCTAACAAACCCTGGGAATATTGACTGAGAATAGTTCCAATGAATCTGTGAGCCTGAAGTTTTCAGTCCTGATGTTAACCAAGGTTGGGAACCTGTTTGATCTGAAAGGCTTCGTCCTCCAGGTTCCTCCAGGTTCCTCCAGGTTATTTTTCCATTTTCCCGTCACTGAGTCTGAATGTTTTTCTAACCCGCTTCTCCTAATAAATCCTGGCGCTGTGTTTCCTCCTCAGGTGTATCACGCCTCCGTCATCTCCATGGATGAGAGCAGTGATGATGGAGGCTCAGGGGGCGGGGCCACCACCTTCTCCTCGCCGCCGCCACGCCTCACCTTCAACCGGCCCTTCATCTTCATCATCTACCAGCAGGCCAGTGGCAGCCTGCTCCTCATGGGCCGAGTGGCCAACCCCACAGAGAACTGAGCAAACAACCTCCCCCTTTGAAGCTCCGCCCACCTGTAGAGGCAGGTTGTAGCCTCACTTCCTGTCTATCTGAAGTGTTAAACATGAGGGGGAGTCCCCTGAAAGGGCCTCAAGGGACGCCCGATGGGTCGAGTTAAACAGATCCAGAACATTCAATCCTGTTCCATTCCTACTAATCATCATCTTGTTTATTGTAGAGCACTTCCTGTTAGCACTGAGCTAATGTTGCATCCTATTTATTTTGTTGTTTTCCTGCATGCTAGCAGCTTTTAGCACTGAGCTAACGCTGAATGTTTGATTCCGATCATAAACGGTTTTAATAAAACTGAGTCTCCTGATTATTGTCCTGCCAAGACAAACCCTGAAATAAAAACTGGATTCGCTCTAGAGTTTCTAAACCAGCCGGCTGATTGTAAATACACAAAACTACTCCAGCCTGCAGCAGATTTATGTTTAAAATAGTTTTTATTCAACCAATAAGTTTGTTTCTCTGAGGAAACGAGGCAGGAAAAAAAATCAATTACAAAATATTTTTTTCTTTTATTTAAAGATTTACTAAAATATCTCCGGTTTGTTTCGCTGCTGTCTATCAAACTTGCTTTGTCTCATTCCAGCCAAACTCCAATGGATTTCATTAGACTACCCAGAACTGTGAAACTGATGGAAAATAATTCCAATAATTTCAACATTTTACACCTTGGTAATCTGAAAAGTGTGGCTTACATTTGATTTTTGGTCTTCTACTCTGAAATCCTGGAAAAATAAAAATATCCACTTTCACCAACCAGAGTTCAGCTGTAGCTTAATCTGAGTGTGACTCCAACCTGAGACTGGGGTCAAAGGTCAGCTTCCAGCGTGAACACGCAGCCACAGATATGATGGGATGAATAGAGCAGATTCCTGGGTTAGAGTGGCCTAGTCAAAGGGAATCTGTCACTGCTGTTTCTGTCTGTAGATGGTACACTCCACACTTTGCAGAGATTCCTGTTAAAAATGTTTAAAGCCACCGATTTCCTTCACAGTTCTGCACTTCCTGTTGTTCTGCCACAGAAAGTCTGAATGAAATAAACTGGAGTTTGTTGATGGATTGGAGCAAAAGGTGAGATCGTTAGAGGAACCAGCTGTTTGGACTTTGCTGACCTTCTCCCTCTGATGCTCTTTTCTCTGAACCTCCATCTAGTGGCAAAAAAACTCAATAAAAGCCGTTTTCATTCAGTTTTTTATTTTAAAATAATTTCTGATTTCCACTAGTCCAAGTTAAACTCCTCTTTGGTTGCCCGCGGTGATCACCGTCCAATGAGATCACACCAACAACCTGCAGGTGAACCAATCAAATGAAGCGATGAGATGGTTGAATACACAGTGCTCAGTAGGATCGCTCAGCATCCACCGGTTCTGCTGGCGCCGCGCTGCGTTCTGGGCGTCGCCCTGAAACCGCTTCCAGGCAGCTGATTGGCTGATGGGCTCACGTACAGGTGAAGACATCATCAGCTTCACTCTCATTCTGACTGGAGAGAGTTGGACTTCCTGATCCTGCCGAGAGAAAACCAGAAAAACAGATCAGGAAGTAGACCGGGCCGAAACTCAACCAGAACCACAACTGATACCAGGTGAAGCAGACTTCCTGACCCAATTTCACTGGTCTTACGGTCTTTTGTGGAACCAGTTCGTCGTCAGGACTCACATGGAGAGCTTCCTGGACTGACTGTCCTTCATGCCGCTCCCACGCTCCATTGTCTTGCTGCGCTGACCCAAGGTGCTGGTTCTGTGGTCCCGATGGTCCAGGGTGCTGGTTCTGTGCTCTCTCTCCTCCAGGGAACTGGTTCTGTGCTCCATCATGTGGTTCCGCTGGTCTCGGTTTCCAGTCCTGTGGTCCAGGGTGCTTTTTCTGTGCTCTCTCTGCTCCAGCAGGCTGGCCTGGTCCAGGAGGCTGGTAGTTTTGCTTCTGATCAGAACCGGCATGGAAGAGGTGGACTGGGTTGTCAAGGTGAAGTGGGCGGTCCTCACTGAGTCATCTGTGGGAACAGGAAGTGATGTAAGAGTAGAAACAATCACATAGGGCAGGGGTGTCAAACTCCAGTCCTCAAGGGCCGCTGTCCTGCAACTTTTAGATGTGCCTCTGCTGCACCACACCTGAAAAGAATAATTAGGTCAGTAGCAAGGCTCAGGAGAACCGATCTACACAGGGAGGAGGTAATTAAGCCATTTCATTCCACTGTTTTTTACCTGTGGCACATCTAAACACTGCAGGACAGCAGAGGACTGGAGTTTGACACCCCTGACATAGGGAGTCCAGGTGATTGTAAGGTGAGCAACTACCTCTGGTGGACTTCCCAAGACCCGAAGAACCGCTGAGATCTTTGACCTTCCTGAATCACACAGAAAATGCACAACATGTTAGTCAGGATCAAGCTCTAGTCAAGCTCTACAGAACCTGGACTGGACTGGATGGACTGGACTGGATGGACTGGACTGGATGGACT